TTCTATGTTACGTTGTTTTCACTTATTGAGATTATAATCTCACATGAAATATGTAATTATTTTATAGGTAATCAGTAATCAATGATCCGAGGCAGTCGAGAATTAGACGAGCAATCGACGGTGGTTAATGGTTCAATCATGATATGGAATTTGAAATGTTTTAGAATTTTATGATTTTGTTTTAGAGTTTTTCTTGAAGGATTTTGAATATGAACAATTTTATTGATTTTATCCGTATGTTTTCGATAAAATGTTTTAGGTTCAAGTTTTCGATTCGTTTCAGTTCACCCTTTCACATGTTTGTGTATCATATACTTCTCCAAAGACATGGTGAGGATGAGGAGAGGTAACTGATGAGGTTTGCCCAAGTAAAGACTTCACATTAGGCTTAAAAATACAACTTCAAAATCTAGCCAATTTGGATCACTGCATAACCATGTCAAGGAAGTCCCACGATTGGAGCATAATATTAAGGGAAAATTGCAGCAGATATCCCAAACCTTTCATTTTGTTGCAGAATATACCTTAACCTCCTATTTTTGCGGATGCAGTCCCAAGCCTTTTACTTTAATGGCAGCCGGAATCCATTAGATGGATTTCATTGTTAGTCAACACTGAAATTGGAATTTTGACTCAAATTGAAAGATTATATGAGAGGTAAAATGGTCAATTTATATTTCTATAATTATATAATTAAATAAAAAATGAACTTCGTCTTTTCCAAATCATCCCACCCCCACTACCAACTCCAAAATAAAAGACTAGAACTTAGTGAATTCTTACGACTAACACCAACCATTGCTGCCACATCAACACCGCCCTACCACTGCCCTCAATCAAATAATTTTGCTTTGTTTGCTGAAAACTCCCGATGCCCTCCGTCACCGCCATCTTCAATCAAAATTTTCCCCAAAACCCCAACTGTCCTCCATCAACACCATCCTCAATCAAAGAATTTTTCTTTTCTTACTCATTGCATAGCAACAACCTCAATAAGTTTCAAATGTAATTAGGGAAGCAGATCCATTTCGGTGGCGAAGCCGTTGATGGCGAAGTAAGTGGCAGTGGGTTTTAGATTGCCAAACTGTAACAACAGCTGCCTCCGGCTCTCTTCAAAACTACCCGCAGTGGTTACTCGGTCGACTATCACTTGGAGCCATTGATGATGAACTCAGGGCAGTTAAACGGCTACAAACACAGGCTCTTTCGAATAGTGCTAATCCATAGTTATCAGATGGGGTTGATTTTGATCGGGTTTCATGGTAGGGGTAGAGAGGGGTGAGGTTTGGAGAAGAAGAATTTTTTGATTAACTTATTTTATTATAGAAATATAAATTGATCATTTTACCCTCCATATCATCTGTCAATTTGAGTCAAAATTCTAATTTCGGTGTTGACTAACGGGATTCTAAATGGAATCCGTCCAATTGACTCCAGCTGCCATTAAAGTAAAAAGGTTTGGGACTGCGACCGCAAAAATAAAAGGTTAAGGTATATTTTGCAATAAAATGAAAGTTTGGGACCTCCGCTGCAATTTTCCCTAATTTTAATTGAATGTTATGTTGTAGAAGGTCAGCCCAGGAGTGCTTGTTAGTAATGCTGCAAATAAAAGAAGTAAAGAACTCTATGACATGGAAATGAGTGGTATACATGATAGTTTTTCAGCTATATGGAAGTCTCGAGAATGTTTGTCTCTTCTGATTCATTTTATGCTCCAAACATAAACGAGTAGAACATATCTACCTGATACATAATACCGGAAGCGGAATTTGGATGTTACATAATACGTGTTTAAACCTGCTCCTTAATTTTTGCAATTACCACAAAGAAATCTTCTAAAGCTACAAAATGATATTCTACAGCATGATCGTTCTAGTTTCAATAACAGAAAATGAATTCCCATGCCACAAAGCACCTAGTACTTTGTTATCACATTTAGCGCCATGAGGAACCAAGAATTAGACTGGATTATGTTAATGTGCACAAGCAATATTTTGCTCTAACTATGGAAAAAATTATCAGAAACAATGAAGAAAAAAAAAAAGAAAAACGATTCAGGTTTACAAACTAAGAGAGGGTTAAAATATGCGTGTAATATAACCTTACAGAATACAGATGCCATGCAATCACTAACACTTGATAAATGCTAAAGAGACTAACAAGATGCACTCAGGATGAAGTGTAATACTGATAGGAGGAACTTCACTAGTAACAGTATCCATCAATTTCTACTTCCGACTTAGCAATCCACTATATAAATACAAGTTTGTCTCCATTTAAGTAACAGGACATGTAATAAAACCTAAAATATCTAGATTATTATTCAACAAAATTTTAATACATCTGGATCTCATTTGTTCATTATAGTAGGTGACAAAAGTTCAAGATGGTCTGGCTAAAGGGGCTCTCATACAAGGTCAATGATCTTACACTCATCCATGCTTTATATTTAAAGTCAAAGTTATATAAAGGGTCAATCTTTTTTAATCATTTAGACGAATTTCAAGAGGCAATTACCCTGCAATATCATTGATAACATATTGGATCACTCTGTAGCATTCGAACAAATTTGAACCTTGTTTACAATTAACTAACTTAAATTTCATCATCATGAAAATATGCCGTGTCACACTTAGAATATGGTGCTACAAATAGCAGAATCTACCTGTAGTGGCTCTCTATTCACTGTAGATTGGTTATTTCTTAACATGTATTTAGAAGCCCTTGGTCAAACAAGATCCTCTAAGTAACTTCTATTGTATTTTTGACACATATGACACTGTGATGAAATGTGTTTATGTTACCAACAATCAAATGTTCACCTTTCCCATGCTACTATATTTTTATTAATGTGCATGTCACATGGTCATAAGGCATTATAGTTCAAGGATTCTAACCAACAAAAGTGTTATTCCATTTAAGGCTTGTACAAATCTTCGTGTAGAGGAACTCCCCCACAATAGGTAACTTGAATATACAACATATTCTAACATTAGGTCAATTAATCTACAACCATTCTAATTAGCATGGCTTACACAGTTCAACTAGAATTTTCACATATTCCTCAAGTATTTATCAGGTGCAAGTTCTTATTGAGAACACTAGCCACATGTCCTTCAATACTTCATCATATAACAATCATATCATAGAATTATGCCTGCACACTTCTTATTTGCACAGGCCAAGTTACTATTTTGAAGATTTTATAATACCAAATAAGAGCAAAACAAAAATTCACGGCAACTGTGAAAACTCATTCGACATTGATTAAATCTTAAGAATAATGTAAGCAAGATATGACAACAGTTTAACAACGTGAAAGAGTAAACAAACTGATGCATACAGCTCTAGACATCATATAACCAATAATCTCAGCCATGACAAAGTTGATATTTGGAAAGTATATTTCTGACATATTTATTTATCCCTCATACACAGTAGATTGACTAGATTCATCCTTTAATCCTTAGACAAAATATTCACATGAAGGTCAAAACAGTACCAGTTTAAGCTTCTTTCTCTCCCTTAGAATCAGATTTAGTCGGCTCAAGTGAAATGTTGTTGAGCCTCTCGAGAGCCAAAACAAGAGCTTGAGTACCCAGATCTCCCTCCCCGTGAGCTTTGAGAGATAAATAGAGCTGCTGAGCCAATGCTAAACCAGGTAAGGCCAACCCCATATTCTGACACTCCCTCAAACAAATCCCTAAATCCTTGACAAAATGATTTACATAAAACCCAGCCTCAAAATCCCTGTTCAATATCCTGTTACCATACAAGTCCAAGGATTTGGAGCCAGCAGCACCAGTCGAAATTGCGTTCAAGTAGTTGCTTAAATCCAGTCCGGCCTTGTGTGCGTATATTAAACCCTCACACAGACCTACCATAGTTGAGGCAATGGTTACCTGATTTCCTAATTTACAGAACTGCCCTTTCCCGGGGCCACCCATGTAGTACACTCTCCCGAGGTGGTCAAACAACGGAGTGAGACGGGTTACGACGCTTTGTTCGCCACCAGCGAATATGGAGAGGGAGGCGGAGCGGGCGCCTCGGTCTCCACCGGAGACAGGAGCGTCAATGGAAAAGCATCCGGCAGCGGCGGCGGCAGCGTGAATCTCCTCAGCGAGGGAAGGGTCAGAGGTGGTCATGTCAACGAGGACGCCACCAGGGCGGAGGCCGGAGAGTGCGCCGGTGGTTGGATCAAGCATGACCTGGCGAACGTCGGAGGGGTAGCCGACGATGGACAAAACGACATCGGATTGAGCGGCGACAGACCTGGGTGAGTCAACCCAGTGGGCCCCCATTGAAAGAAGAGATTGGGCCTTGGACTGTGTGCGAGTGAAAACGTTGACTGTATAGCCGGCCTTGAGCAAATGGGAGCACATGGAGCTGCCCATTACCCCAGTGCCGATCCAGCCCAGTTTAGTGGTGGATGGGCTGATAAGATCGCCGGCGGTTATGTTGGTGGCCATGGAGCTGTAGAAGGGAGTGGGAGTAAAGTTGGTGGTGATGTGGAGTGAGCGGCAGAGAGATAATAGTCGCATGTTTTGTTGGTTAGGTTTTATCGGAAATTTGTTGGACCGTAACTATCTGGACATGTCTACGGGCCTGCTTGTTAGTTCCGAGGTCTAGCGTTTTGTAAGATACGAGTGATTTTAGTAGCTAATTTTTTAAAATATTTAAATTTATATTTGAGAGTTTATTATCCATCAATTTAGAAAGTTTTTTGAAAAATAAAGTCACATATATGCCCCATAGAGAAATTTTCAGTTTATAGTTTCTTGTATGAAAGTTTTTACTTATAAGTGTTATTTTACTTATATGTATTTTTTTATATATCCCCTCAGAGTCATTGAGATATGTATTCGGTCGTAAACTTCAGGGTCACGTGAGATTAGTCGAGGTGCGCGTAAGTTGGTCCGGACATTCACAGTTATAAAAAAAATGCATTTTTTATATATAAATTAATATTTCACAAAAAAATTTATCGTATAGGCAATATTTTACTTATAAGTAATTTTTTAATTATAATGTAATTGTTTTACTTATAAATAATTTTTTAGTTAGTATATTTTTATTTATAAGTTATTATTAAACAAATTTGTTCGTTGACAATAATTATTTTATAAAAGGGTAAAATTAGAAGAGAATCTAAAAAACAGTGGTTGAGAGATTCGGTCAAAATTATACCATACCATTTTTGGGTGGCTTTTCAATCTACCAAAATTGGTACCAAAAAAATAGCAAGTATCGATTCTTCCAACCCTTTGTAAATGATGTTACCCAAAATCGGTGAAAATAAAACTCTCAACCAAGCCCTAAAACTAACCATGGTTAGAGGCATAGAAATAGAACGTGTCCAATAGTATCATAGAGGCAATACGTTATGCCTCGCCAACAAAGAAGCCATTACGTTACGTGGTCAATTTTTTTGTAATAATTTTCTGCCTACTAAGTACTAAGTTAATTACTTAGCCCCTGTTTGTTTCCAATTTTAATGAAAATTTATACTGTTGCAATAGGAAGAAGCCGTTTTTATTGACCAGTTTGTCTCATAGTGGGATCCATTTGTTTGAAAAAAAGGGTCAAAAAATTTATTCTTCTGTTAAAATAATGGGAAATAAATGGTCCTTAGTCAACCTCACAACACTCAAATTTCTCTAAATGAAGAATAGAAAAGCATATGAAAGACATGGATTGCGGTAAACGAATACAACGATTTGCAAGAAATCTCCTTGATTTTTTCAACTTTTATTACCTTAATAAAAGAACATTGACGTAACTTTAGGTAAGGATCACGACATGCACCCAGAGGCTTTGTATCTAAAAGCTCCTGAAATTTATACATCAAATTCGTGTGGTTGACACCCTAAAGATTTCAAATGTTACCCGCCAAGAAAATTGCTTTAAAACTATCCCTACATGCCAGTAACTGTTGGCATGCTTAAAACAGATTACACGTCAAATTCCACTGCCATGTGACTCAATAAGTAACCGTTACAATGAACTAAGTCAGCTAGATACAAGACTTGTCCACTTGTTGAATTTGTTGAATTTCGGGTCTGTACGCAATGATTCTGCTAGGCTGCATTATGTCGAAAGCCATTTTCACTATTTGTCTTGTATTTCGTTCTCCGCCCGTGCTATACCTTCACCCATGCACCACCAACCAATTCATTCTCACGCTGTTTACAGGAGAATTTTCAAATTAGCCTTGGTCAACTAGGTTTTTCCTTAAAAAACGTAAAAAGTCAGTTTTACCCTTAATGAAATGGATTTTATTGCAAAATATATCATTACTTTATGAATAGTTTTAAATTTTAGTTTTTATTTTATATTTCATCTATTTCTCTATTCGTCTTCACTAGATATTTCTTTTGAATCTGATTTTTGTTCAAAAATTTCTTCATCGGTTACTATTTCTTCAAAGTTGATTTCTTCACATTCATCCCTAATTTGTTCAAAATCTGTAATTAGTATTCTGACTTTCTTTTTTGGGCATCCAGTACTTATATGTCTTTCTTCATTATAATTCTAATATTTACATCGTTTTTCATCTAATGGTTTATTATAAGGTTTATATTTTCTTTTAAAATATTTTCTTTT